ACACTAACCGAAACAAGGGGTGACTCATGTCGCAGGTCAGGCAGACCTGTTAAGGCGAGAGCTTGACAATAGATTCTTGGCATCCCAAGACAGAAACGTTGGAGTCGGAGTTGGCAATTTGGGTCCGCCCCCATATCTTAGGACAGAGATGCACCATCACCAACATCAGCACACTCATGTACATCAACATACTACACCTTTGCTTCCACCAACGGCCGCAACTACTTTATTTCCGCCTCCTATAGTACGTAATATATTTTATAATTTTTTTTTTTCCAATATAACATTTATTATTATCACACTTATGAATAATTATATTCTTAGTTCAAGGACATCCCGAAATTAGGAGGTGTTGAATCTCCATTTTTTCGTGGAAATCTAAATCTTTCTAGTTATTCTGGCTTTAATACTGGTCTCTTACATCCCGGAATTGGTCCACCTTCAACTCCTTTTGTACCTCCCAATCATTTAACGTCATTTGCACCAAAGGTAATTTTTATAAATTATAAATAAATATAAATTAAAATATTTTTATAAATATTCTAATATATTAAATATATAATTATATAATTTGTGTATTTAATGCAGAAAAGTGGAAAATGGAATGCAATGCATGTTCGCATTGCTTGGGAAATTTATCATCATCAACAAAAACAACAAGCGGAAGCAAAAGCAGGAAGTGTCGTTAATACTAAAACAGAACTCCTACGACCACCAGGTCATCTTTATGCAGCAGGTCCAGGAACTGGTCTCGGAATAGGAGCATCTCCTATGGCACCACCATTTCCTACTAATATACCACCGGCACATCCTGCACCACCTCCACCTCATCCAGTTGGTTTTCTATCTACACCAGCATCACATTTAGGTAATTTACCAATAAATCGTACATGTGAAATTATTAACTATTAGAAATATAATGATTATATTAATATTATATTGATTACATTAATATGTTAAAAATGATTTCAGGAACAGGAATGTCACCATTTGGAAGATATCCATCAACATTTGGTGCACCTAATCCGAATTTTCCTGGTCTTTCTAGTTTTCCTCCATCGAGAGAAATGCCACCATTAGGTGGATTGGGTTCTGTTCATGATCCATGGAGAGGGTATGTTTTTAAATATTTTTTTGTACAAAAAATGTATAAATTATTTGTTTTTTCTTCTTTTCTCTTTAGGTTACAAAGAGCCTCTGCTGGCTTTCCACCAACTACAGCAGTATCATGGAGTCTAAAACCAGAACCACCTGCAATTGATAGACGAGCTGAACTTGAAGAACGAGAACGCGAGCGAGAACGCGAACGTGAGCGTGAGCGAGAACGTGAACGTGAACGCGAACGTGAACGAGAACGAGAACGCATAAGACGTGAGAAAGAAAGAGAAAGGGAAGAACAACGCGAAAGAGAGAGACGGGAACGTGAAAAAGAAGAAAAGAGAAAACAGCAGGAAGCTGCTGAACGAGAAAGGGAAAGAAGAGATAAGGAACGTAGAGAAATGGAAAGACGCGAAATGGAACGTGAAAGGTTACTTCATCAAAATCGACAACATGTAGTCGTTGGTCGGGAACGGTCACCTCTAAGAAATGGGTCAGCACCTATAGATGCTGGCGAAGTACGCGTTAAAGAGGAACCACGAAGTAAAGATGATGAAGTAGTAATGCTTCCAAGGCCACCAGGTCCTGGCCCTGGAGCAGCATCTGCAGCAACAGGACCTGGTCCGAGTCCACTGCCTGACACAAGATATCATCATCCTCATCCTCATTCATACCTTGCAAGGCATCCGCATAGTATGCCTGCGCCGCATTCCATGCCACGAAGTATGCTCCCTGCCTTGAGTGCACATCCAATGCAACATTTTCCACCTCCATCCGCACCGACTGGTCAACCAGGAGGTCCTTGGCCTGGGGATCCTTTTAGGGATTATCGTTATGATCCTTTACAACAATTACGTTATAATCCATTAATGGCTGCTGCTGCATTTCGAGCAGAGGAAGAAGAAAGAGCTAAACTTTATGCTGGATATCCACCGCCACCTGTAAATTCTTTAAGAAGTAAGGATCCAAGTCCTGGTCCATTGAGTAATTTGCATATGCATCATAGAGCAGGACCTGGACCAGGGGTACCAACACGACAATTAGAGCCTGCTTTAATGCATGCAGATATACATAAAAAGGAGGATGCATCCCAATCTCGATGATATATCCTCCCTACGTCCTCGGCTTCTGCAAGTGAACGCACTAAAGGGTCAGCATTCTGAGCATTTGCGTAAAGTATCCAGGCCCCGGTGCTAATATTTTGCTAATGGAGAAGAGGCGTTATTTAAAAAAAATTGTACATAGATTATTAATATTTATAGTTATCGAAAAAGTGCGAAAAAACGAAAAACGTAAGACACTTAAAAATAACAAATACACGCTCTAGTAATAAGATCGTTAAAAAATGCCTTGTTTCGTGATCATAAGATTCCGTCTGATTACATGACGGAAGTTAAAGGACGAATCATCGATATAAATAAATCAAGGCATTTGTTTAAATAACGTGGTCACAAAAAAAAAAGAAAACAAATAATAATGACGTTATGTGATTCTCTAAAAGTTTCGGGGATCTAACTGTTTATAGCGATATAAACTAATCATTACGATAATTATGCGTACAGTTTAAAAAAAAGTATCGTGTGTAATATTATAGATATTGTAGAATGCGAGACGACGCTACATAAAAAAAGAAATCCAAGTTAAGAGCAAACTTAAACGGATCTCTACCATTACTCAAAAATTATTTAATTATTTATTTATTGCGACGTATAAACGAATCTCTATTACTGACGTACGAATATGACCGTAAAATAAGTTGCCCTAATTTAATCGATATAATATGAGAAAAACTAACTTTTCCTTTTCTTTATAGAGATTAATTTGTAGGAATATTAGTAAAATGACATACCGAGAGGGCAAAAGAACAGATATCTTTGGCTTTTGGCAGCACAAGCTTGCTTTTTTCTTTTTTTTTTTTTTTTTTTT